GTATTTCGCAAGGAATTGTCGGACTAAGCAGCTATTATCTATTTTCATTTCAATTAAGTGCGCGTGTCTGTAAAAGCTTTTAAATTGTGAGATCGAAATTTTACAGTTCAGTACTCCCTTGCTAGTAGGAGAAGTTTAAGTTGTTAAACAAAGGAGAAGTTTCAAATAAGTAAGTTAAACTGAGCATCGATTAACCGATCCTCGGAGAGGCTACACACTTTCCACCCCAGAGGTTGCGTTTTCTTTCGAATGCATTCGCTCCCAGACGCGATGCGACGATTTTAAATCGTAATTACAGACGAACAGCAAGCTCTTTATTAAATCGGCATCTGAAACTGCCAAATGGCAACTTAAACTTTTTAGCGGGTAAACTTTTTTTCTTTAGTTGGATATTTCTAAAATTTTTACGATGCTCTTGCAACTCATGAATTAACAATCATCTCTCCATCGCTTCGTTTCTCAAATCATTTATATTAATCCGCATGGATGACCAATGACGGAAGCATTTTCATTGAGAACACGCTGTTAAAAAGCAAACCATTATAGCGACGCGCCAAAAAAAAAAAGAAATCGTTCACTAAATCTAGTAAAGATTATTTCATAAAATTTTTAAAACTGTTTGAAAAAATAACAGTGATACGAAATCTACCGATCGTCTTGAAAACTCAATACGATTAATTGATTTTATATTATGAAGTGTGTTCTATTTTAGCCTCACAAAACCTTGTTATTTTTGTTGAAAAAAAAGCAGTTCAATTTTGATGGGTTTACAATTGAAAATGTATAAAATTAATATATGATTATTGGATTCTCTAATTTTCAATTGATAAATGAAGTAGTTTCCGTCATCCCCAATTTCAAATTTGTGTTCAGTCAATTGACGACGGTCATTTAATCAAGTTTTTGACACGAGCTGCTCAAACCCGATGTACAAATTACCTATCAAACGAAATGCATCTCGGCGTTGTTATTATTATCCACGGATAATAATAATGAAGCGCCGATTTTGAAGAGAAACGAGAACCGTTTCTGACATGTACTCGACGTCGTTGGTACGCGTCGCGACGCGACGTGTCGCTTATTTTGTTCGGCCCGATTTTGCCAATGCGAGCGACGTCGCATAGAAGAATCGGAACGCTTATCCACGATGATTTACATCATTTATTACGACGCTTACAACACGACATAGGCTAAAATGAAATTTGCGTTGATTAATAATTGCTTCAGAAAGTAAAAAGTTTGTTTCGAACGTTTCATTTATCCAATTCAAAGTAGAAAATAACAAAATATGTATCTATATAGGAGGCACGTGGAATGAAAGAGCAGGAAAATAAGGCCATTTTATAACAAGAGAAGTGGATTTGCCAAAAGATCAAATTCAAAGGAACTATGGTACTCATCTTTATATTGTGTTTACTTACAATTAGTTTAAGTTAAAGAAATGACTAGTTTTCACATCGTCGTTTAATAACAAACCAATGGTTATTTGTCAACGCAAAATTAAAAGAAAATAGCAAAATTAAGCAATAGATAGCTAATTTCCAATTTTTTTTTAAGTGAAACTTCTTTACGCACGGTAGGGTAAGTTCGTTTCATGCGAGTTGTTATGTAACGAAATCATGCAACGGATGTCTCCCCTCTACACGGCCACGTAGTCGAGTTCGTAGTGAGGATCGCTTGAGCCATGAGCGCGCTTCAATGCAACGTTCGTTACAGGCAACTCCGTCATGTATAGTGTAAAATTTAAATTCATAGTGTACAAATATTAACCCCTATCCCGGTATGTTTGTGTAGTTGAAGAAGTTTCATTTTAGTAGCGTGTTGTATAATTACACGTTGTAATTTTTCTTTACTTTATTGGGACCCTTGTTGATGCTAAATTTTAGAACAACGGAAAGCTGTCAAGGTTTTTATCCATTTTTTGAATTGCTGTATTCATTTATTGTATCCAATTGAAAAATTGGACTTTTTAAAGAACAATGGAGTTTTGTATAATGGCAATTATTTGATAGTAATTTTAAGGCTTTAGTAAAACATGAATAAAAGCTATGAGATTGAAGAAGGTTGGTATACTGTAGATAGATACAGATAAAAGGCGATTTACTATTTAATTTTCACTTAATTTAAAATTTGTTCCTACACAAAGAAAATAATGTAAAATTTCTGCTACTATTCATCTACTTTTGTAAATGTTATAAACAGTAATTGGCCGTTATATGTAGATTAAAAATGACAGCCTTGATATTGGACATCAATGTTTGACGAAAATGTGCATTTTCAATATGTGTCTGTTTTGATTAGTAAGCTACTGACAGTGCGGTGGCAGCTGATTAAATCGGATCCACAAAAAAAATCAAAATTCATAACGAAATAATGAATAATGGGAATGAATGCGCAAGTAATTTTCTATTTTAACGGGTTTTAACGTTCATTTAGCATCCAGCCTAAACGCTCCCCGTTGGAATAATAAAATAGTCCACATTGAGGCCGGAATTTACAACAAACAAGTGACCAAAATTACATGTTGATAAAAAACAGACTACAGCAAAAACTTTTAACAGCTAAGCGGGATATTGGGGAAAATGCGACAAGGGTACGCCGCACGGTGGTTAAAATGCTCCACAAACGAAGTCCTTTAACAATATAGATTATTGTATATTTATATATATTTTCCTTATCTGTATAAATTAACGCAATTGTTTTAAGTTTATTTTATATTCGTTGTTAAATCACAGCAAAAACACTAATATAGAAAATGTGGTGAAGTTATCTTCTGTACCTGAGGAATTGATACCTTTTGATAATACAAGGAAAAGAAACTACAAAAATAAGTTTATATGTGTAGAATTAGAATTTAGTGACTTCGGTTATTTCCTCCTGCCAAAGGACCTTTGTTGGTGCAGGATTTCACGATTCTATGGCAACAGAAGTACGGGTTTTAATAATTGAGGCAATCGATTTCAAACTAAGGGAAGACCGTATCATTATATTGCATTAAGTTGTTGACTTTAGTATTTGTTATTACTTTGATGTCTCTAGCATTACAAGGGTAATAGTAATGAGAATAATTTGATATGCCTTTATCAGAATATTAAAAAAAAAAAGAAATTCTGACCATACAGAAGATGGTCAACACAAACTAAAATATCAAAAGTTGTATAAAAAGATTATTATAAATGGGAGAAGTAAAAAATTAACTAGGAGGTTTAATTTTTGAAGTCATTAAGAACAATGACTTTAAAAAATACACTCCTGTGGACGTTTTTGTTGTTTTTCTGTTTATAATTTAAGAAAACCGCAAAGGCTGGTAAGTATTTATTTTTCGAAAAAAAAAATGCTTCGGCAACCTGTATTAGTGGATTTAAGTGTCCGTAGGTATACAGTTCAGTCAGAAGTCGTCGTTTTATGCCCCTGAGTTTCTAAAGTTAAACCGAAGTATTTACGAGCAATCGTTATGGCCATAGCCACCTTTGCGGTTTCGCACTAATCCACGTACTTGTTTACGATGACACGACGTTGACATAAAATGTCCACAATTACTCGTTCGAATACGCCACTGCAGTTTTGTTTATGTGACGATCGTGTTTCAGAAGCACGATGATGACATGAAGCGCATGCTGATACTCTGCGTTCTCAATTTCACAGAAGCATGAAGTAGGTAAAAAAGATTTTACTGTCGTGGATTTGTTGAAATTCCATTGGATAATTGAAGAAAAGCACGGTAAAATTTCAAGGAACGATCAAGGATATTGTTCAGAGGAAGGGCTTTAAACAATTTCATCAATGTCGAATAGATTCATAATATTTTCATGATTCGTTACGAGAACAACATACAAAAGAGTATATTTAACAAAAGGAAAAGGTGACCAATAAGTTTACGAAGAAAATTTGTTCAGTAAAACTTTTCCTTACATGAATGAAAAATGGTCTTATCTATTTCCCTATAATTTATCTACAGTCATTGCGGAAGGCCTATTAGAGATACACCATCAGATTGTGATTTTTCCGGGTAACAGATAATCGGGTACTCGGCAAAACCACAACGCTTAATGCTTAATGTCTTCCCGTTAGATATCACTTTCACTAACTATACTAAGTCCTTTTTAAAAAGTCGTCTAAACACTAAATCAATGAAATTTTAATTTTTGGTTGACGGATTTTCAACGCGAAAGTTAAGTTGAAACCTTTAAAACAACTCTAAAATTTTTATAAACAATAAGTCTGCAAGATGACAAAATCATAATAAGGATAGATTACCTACCGTTAATCAAAGTCTCATATACCAAGAAGCGACAAGAATTATAACAGTTCGGTCAAACTGATGTATTCTTGTTTACGAAAAAAAAAAATAAATACAAGAACCATATCGAAATAAGAAATAATTTGGTATAGTAATCAATAAATAATACAAATTGGGGCAAGCGACATGTCCCAATANCTATCCCAATAAAATTTTCCTTGGGTTTTTTGTTATACTTATTAAATTATTATTAGTGCTGGTATTGGTTTTTCTTTTTTCCGTGGTAGAATTACTGTGCCATTATTCGGTACCCGGCCGGATCCTAAAAAAGGTGCCGGATCCAAGCCAGGTAAACCTTACCCACCTCTTAGTATAAACCCGGGGAAAATTGAACATAATTGTTATTTAATAAATGCTAGGGAATGATATTAAACCGGCATTATCATTTTTATTATGTCAAATGAAAATAAAAGAACTTTTATTAATTTTAAGTGTTTCTTTAACAATATATTAGCTGAAGTCAAATTATAAATGGCTTATTATTTGCATTTAATTATATGCAGTGGTAGCCCATTGGGAGAGCTTAAGCCTCCCAAAACAATCGATAAGTAAGTAATAAAAAGTCACCTACCGTTGATGATGGTACATGACCCCTTTGATACTTATGGGAAGGAACAGGAACTCTTCTGGGATAACCGGGCACCTTTTGAGAACTATAATTTAAATTTTTTTCTCCAGGTGTCACGATTGAGTTCGGTATGTTTGAAAGTGGTGACATGAAGCTAAAATTGGCAAGAGAACACGCTCCACTCATTGGTGTGCTGGTTGAGGAGTAATTGGTTCGCATCTAAATATGTTTAACACACGTGAAAAATGGGAACAGCATTGGATGTCCGAATATAGGTGCGAATCTTCATTATAAAGACAATTTTTGAGCATTTTTTTTTAATATTTATAACAGTTTCTTTAAATCGAATTTTGTTGCCTTAAATATGGATTATATACGAGGGTGGATTGATAAGTTTCCGGCCTGACCAAGAAAAACAAGGTTTTTAAAAATTTTTTTTTTTTATTTCTCAACATAATCTCCTCCAAGGCTGATACATTTCTCATAGCGGTGTTCCAGTCTATTAATGCCATCTCTATAGACTGATTCGTCAAGCTCCTCAAAATAACCATTTACAGCTTCGATTACTTCTTCATTGTCCGCAAATCTCTTACCGCCAAGCCATTTTTTGAGATTAGGGAACAGAAAATAGTCACTCGGGGCTAGGTCTGGAGAGTAAGGAGGGTGCGGCATCAATTCAAACTTTAGATCGTTGATTTTAGCCGTCGCAACGATTGACGTGTGCGCTGGTGCGTTATCGTGATGAAACAAGATTTTTTTCTTCGCCAGATGAGGTCGTTTAATTTTCACCTCGTGGCTCAAACGTTGCAATAAGTCTGCGTAGTATTGACCAGTGATAGTATTACCCTTTGCAAGGTAATCAATGTATATAATACCTCTTGCATCCCAAAAAACAGTAGCCATAACCTTGTTCGCCGAAAAAATTGTTTTTGCCTTCTTTGGAGTTGGTTCCCCTGGTCCAATCCACTGTTTAGACTGTTCTTTGGTTTCAGGAGTGTAGTGGTGGACCCACGTTTCGTCAACGGTTACGAATCGACGCAAAAATTCGCTTGGATTACGCTTATACAATGACAAATTTGCGGTAGAAATGTTTTTTCGAATCAATTTTTGGTCGACTGTTAGCAAACGCGGCACCCATCTTGCACAGAGCTTTTCCATATGCAAATGTTGGTGCAAAATATGTTGCACACGTTCATATGACATCTTACAGGTCTCAGCTATCTCACGCACTTTCAATCTGCGGTCTCCCAGCACTATTTGATGAATTTTTTCGATCATATCTGGAGTTGTGACCTCAACGGGGCGTCCTGAGCGAGGCCCATCAGAGGTGCTCACACGACCCTTTTTAAACTCGGAAACCCACTGCTTAACGGTTGAATATGACGGGGAGGATGTCCCCAGTGTTGAGTCCATCTCTTTTTTAATTTCCTTCGGCGTTAACCCCTTCAAATAAAAGTATTTGATGACAGCACGATTTTCCTGCTTTTCCATTTTTACGAAAACCACAGAGGCGTCTTGTTCAGCGTGCTGTCAAACCTACACTAGCAAGGAGATCGGGCTGAAACTATAGCTACAAGCTATCCAAGGATGGTACTATAGAATGTCACCTCAAGGTAGGCCTAGTGGCGTCATCTCTTGGTTAGGCCGGAAACTTATCAATCCACCCTCGTATAGTCTAGCATTAGATGATTCAAAGAGGGTCGCGAATTTACATTGTGTATATAGTTTTTATAAATTCTTTAATTAAATGAAATATGTATGAGTACTTCTTGACCAAAATGAGTGGATTTCATACACTCGCTTTTTTTCTTCTAAATTACTCAAAAATTTTGAAAGGACAACTGATTGTATATCACTTATTACATGTAGGTATTTACTAAAATCACCAATAATGGACAACAGACAAAATTTTTGAATTAAAATAAAAGTAAATTCTTAAGAAATAGCTCATTGCACTGAGTTTGCTGCTTTTAAAATTGGTAACATAGTGTTTTCTTTTTTTTTTTTAATTAACGGAAATGCGGATTTAAATTAGAATAATGGATTATAATACACTTTTTTACCCTCAGAGTGCATGAAGCATTCTTATTTGATTAGTAGTTCTTTTCAATATTACAAACCACGTAAATTGGAAAAAGAGTTGATTAACTTAAATGGAAAATAGCAAAACTCTTACGGTTTGCACTTTTTTTTATAAAATTTCTAGCTCAACCTAGGTATGTATTATTGACACATATTATAAGTATATGCAAGTCACTTTTATGTCCTATTAAAATAACAGTGGAACAGTTTGATGTTTCCCCGTTAAATAAAGGCAAATAATATTAAAATGTTTTCTACGAAGTTAATAACTTTTCATCAAAAAAAATGTAATAACTGTGTGTATATGTATATAAATTAAAATCAACTACTTTAATAAAAGCTGTTTATCGTTAAACAAATTGTAGTGAATTTAAAAAATTAGAGAGCTTAAACAAACTTGACAGTAATCTTTTTGGGAGACATCTTTTAATCGCACCTTAATTCAGACACCCTGTATATTATTAACAATAAATAATAAAATAATTACTGTGCATCAAATAATCAACCTACCTCTATTGAAGCTTTAAGATTTTGATTTGCTCTTTTCAATTCGTCTATTATTTTATGTGTTCGAAAAATTTCTTTTTTTGCATGATCGTATTTAATCGTTAACGTTTTTATCAAACTTTTCATATTGTGTTCTTGAAACGAAAACGCCTATAAAAAATGATGTGCTAAATGAGCATTTGCTGTTTTAACAAATTTAAATTTTACTTTGTACCTCTTTTATTTTATCAAGCGATTCGTTTATTGGTTTAAAAAAAAATTGTAGTTCTGGCTTTAATTCAGCAGACAGTTGAGCTACTTGACAGGCCTCTTTACATACTAGACACAGTTTGAAATTATCACCTGACAAATAAAATATGTTTATAATTAAGCATAATAAATTAATTAATAATTAAAATACTTGCCATTATTGATCATTCGAGACGCACATCGTTCACATTTTAAATGGCCACATGCAGTCAGAAAAAATTTTATATCTGGTTGATACCGTAACTGACAATTGTTACAATGTATCCAAATTGCAGACATTTTTTTGTATTGTTTTTAATTTTATAAATTATATTAAATTTCGCAATCTCTGTTTGAATTTGAATCCCAAAGTTGACGCGTTTGCGCCCTTTAACACCCAAAGAAAGTTTTATAGCCTACAAATGTGGTGCTTAATAAAAATGATTAAATATAATACAGTTTGTTGTAGTCAATATTTTATAATAAAAAAGTGAAGAATACTTTACAAATAATATTACCTATTTAAAAGTACATCATTCAAATCACTAATTATTTAAGTTTTGATTTTAATTCTCTCTTATCTGTTGTAGACACAATCAACACTATTTCGTGGTACCTCTATGATTCTAAGATCAACAAAAATGGCGAGGAAGGTTAAGACAACAGTTGGAAAGGAAGGTTATGTTTTGGTGTTTGTGTTTTAAATCTTTAAATGAATGTTATCTTTTAAATTAGAAACGAAGAAGTAGCATGTTAGGTGATCAAAATGAACTTAATGTTGTACAGTCCAAATTTTCATCGAATGAATTGGTTGTAGCAGTATCCTTTCGTTAATTTTCAATTATGTATTGGTAATCGGCCTTTCTAGTGAACATTTATTTTTCTTATCATCAATTTAGGTTCATACAAATGCTCTCTTACTGGAACAAGAAGGCTGGGTAGATAATAGAAGAATTTTGGCGTTGGTGAAGCACGAATTTTCATTTGCATTGTTTGTTATTCTGTCAGTGAACATACCCCCTGTAAGTTTCTCAGATCTTACAATTGAGAGAATAATTCCATTAGATGAATGCTTTTTGTGTGGTATGTACACTTTATTTTTACTTAGCAATTTGGATATTCTTTTGCTTTATATTAGTAAGCAGCATGTCTAATTTAAATTTTGCTTTAATGTTTGCTCTTGTAACTTTAATAAATATATATTTGTGTAAAATTATTGTAATTATTATGTGATTTTTACCTTTGTTTTCAGATACAGAACCTATTCCTCAAGATTATCAAAATATAATATTTAACATTTACTATAAAACATTAATTCTACCATTTAAGGTGGAAATTAGCACTGAAAGTTCGAATTTTGCATCTGAAGTTATAACAGCCAAAGAAGTTAAGCCAGTGGAATATAAGGACTGTATTTTTGCTTGGCTAGATAAATATAAGGACTTAGACAAAATAGTTATGGACTTAAATGAAAAGGTAGCTTAGCAAGACTTTTCAGTCACTTTTAACACATATTGATTTTCCTTTCCAGTTAGGAGATTTTCCTCTTACTAGGCAAAAGAATGGCCAAGGCCAAGGAATTTCAGGAAATAGAGAATCTTTTTTAAAATATCAGCTTACACTTAAAGAACCTGAGTTTACTCATCAACAAGAGTTTACGTATGTTTAAAATAAAAAGTACAAAACTTTTCTTTAATGTGGCATATTATTTTATAAGGATATTTATTGGAACATGGAATGTAAACGGTCAACCTCCAACTGCATTGCGTAAATGGTTAAGCTGTGATGAAGAACCTCCAGATATATATGCTGTTGGTTTTCAAGAATTAGATTTAAGGAAAGAAGCATTCTTGTGGAATGAGACAACAAGGGAAGAAGAATGGCAGTAAATAAACTTTAGATATATATGCATATTCTATATTCTTTTGCAAACTGTAATTTCTCAATTTTGCTCTTTATAAGATGTCATATTCTATTCACTTTTCTCTACATGTGTTTTTCTTTCTACTTCCTTTTTAATTTTATGCATTCCTTTTTCTTCATAAAAAATTGTTGCATACATTGGTAGATTTTATTTTAAACATATCCTTTGGTTAGTCATTGAGCTATTAAATTATTTTTTCAAGCAGAACATATTTGTTGTGAGTCATTATTTTATTTTTTTGCTAGGAAAGCCGTTATGGAAGCAGTTCATCCCAATGCAAAATATCGATGTGTAGCTTTAGTACGATTGGTAGGAATTCAATTGGTAGTCTTAATAAATAGCAAACATTATCAACATGTTAAAAATGTGGCCATTGACACAGTGGGAACTGGAATTTTAGGAAAAATGGTAATAACACATCAAATAATTATTTGATTAATCATGTATGAATTAACAGAATAATGTTACTTATTCATTATTTAAGGGAAATAAAGGGGGTGTGTCAGTTCGTTTTGAGTTGCATAATACATCATTGTGTTTTGTAAATAGCCATTTAGCTGCTCATGTAGAAGAATATGAAAGACGAAATCAAGATTATCATGATATAAACCTGAGAACCAATTTTAGAAGACACCCACTTGCTATAAGAGATCATGAGTATGTGTTTTTTGCTATTATTTAATTTTTTATTTCTGTAAGAAAAGTTGCACCGTTTTATAACTGTTTTTGTTTTTTTTTTTTATTTATGTATTAATATCTTTGATGATTTGTCAATTTTGTTATACTAAAATTAAGACTTGCTGAGCCATTGTCATTTCGTAGACTTATGTGTGTGTTTTTCTGTAAAATGTACGATTGTGGGTTTTCACTGTCATAATCTGTTACCGATGTTTCGTACCAATTGAGATTATCAGTATTAATAGTTCGAAAAATGTTTCATGAAATCGAAAACAAAACGTAAGCAACAACCAACATGATGTAGTGTAAACTTGGAACTCTAAAATTTACTGCTTGATTCATTAATTATAGTTGCTTTACATTATTTGCACTATAAATATAGTAAATTATCTAGAAAATGATACTTAAAATAGATTATTAGTCATCGATTTAATTACTAACTGGTCTTTATTCAATGTAAATCAAGCGTTATCGCCAATCTCAATAACAAACCATTAACCACAAGTTGGTTGTTTAGAGTCATTGAGTAACTGGCGAATACAATTTAAAAATAAATTCAGTAAAAAGAGCCAGTCGTAATTTTATAGTTCTCGTTTTTTATTCATTGAAACATTATTATGCAGAAAAATGCTGCGTCGTACATTTTAAAGGTCTATTGTAATTTGCAATGTACATACGATAAGGATTCTGCCTGTTTGCAAGTAAAAAGTCTGTTAAATTAATTTCAGTCAAGTTTATTGGTTGGGAGACTTAAATTATCGAATAACAGATTTAACTACTGATCAAGTCAAATACTATCTTTCAAAAAGCAATTTGGAACCTGTTCTGCTAGCTGATCAATTGAATCAGCAACGTATTTTGTGCAGGGTTTTACAGGTAAAATATTCAATTAAACGTGCATATATTGTTTTTGATATTCTCTCTTTTTCTCTGCGTATTATTTCATATACATTCCAAATTAAACGTAACTTTTTGCGAATTTAAGTAAGGAAATAATTAGTAAACCTTATACTAAATAGAAATTATTATAAATGCATTTATTATTTTAAGGATTACCAAGAAGGTGATATTACCTTCATTCCAACTTATAAGTACGATTTAAATTCGGATATTTTTGATACAAGTGAGAAAGCTCGAGCTCCTGCATGGACAGACAGAATTTTATGGCGCGGGAAGGGTATATATCAGTCCGCCTACCGAAGCCACATGGAGATGAGAATAAGTGATCATAAACCTGTCAGTGCCCTGTTTAAATCGCAAATAAGCGTTATCGATCAAGCCAAGTATCGAAAAGTTCACGAGGAAGTATTAAAAAGAATGGACAAGTTGGAGAACGAATTTTTACCCCAGGTCACCATCGACTCAACTGAAGTTACCTTTGAACTTGTCAAATTCAGGGAAGCGCAATACAAAGATATTATAATTGCTAATACGGGACAGGTGAGAAGACAAACATGGTAACATAGATTTGATAGAAATTTAGGATTAAAGAAAATTTATATTGTTTCTTGCCAATTTGGAGCTCGATTTGCGTGTGATTCTTTTCCATATATAAAATATTGCTTGTAAAATTGTAGAGCAATTATTTTCAATTGCATTTAAGGTCTTGGCTGAATTCGAATTTATTAGAAAACCAAATGATACGTCGTATTGTAAAGAATGGCTTCGAATAACACCTTATATTGGTTGTATAAAGCCAGGTATATATCATTTATTATTTTTTTTTTGTATGAAAAGTTACCTTTAAACATTTTTTTTTAAAGGTGAAAAATGCGATATAAGATTCGAAGTTAATTTGGAGCAGCCTTTAGAAGAATTGTATGATATTTTGGTATTACACTTGTCAGGAGGGAAAGACATGTTCATTACAGTATCTGGTAAATGCCAAAGGTCTTGCTTTACGACTTCCATTAGTACTCTCTGTCGTGCCCCTATACCTCTTCTGAATTTGAACCCTGACCAGTTGCAACATGCGGTAAGACTGCAAATGAACTTTTAATTTTTATTTACAATTAATTTGGCATAAGAAGTAGTATTTTACTATTAGATGGATCTAAAAACACTCATAAAGCTTCTTGCCAAAATTACTATTAAGTCAAGAAATTTAATAACGTTTGTGAAATTATTACCAAAATATTTTTGTACTTCTAATACAATTGGTATAAAAATCTAATATGTTTTGATTCTAATTGTTTAAATTCATGTGCTTTAAAGCATTGACATCAGTGACAGCAATAGTTAAGAGAGCAAGAGTTGGATTTTGCCCTGTGCGGAAAGCATTCATAATTTTTTTATACATACGAGGGTGGATTGATAAGTTTCCGGCCTGACCAAGAAAAACAAGGTTTTTAAAAATTTTTTTTTTTTATTTCTCAACATAATCTCCTCCAAGGCTGATACATTTCTCATAGCGGTGTTCCAGTCTATTAATGCCATCTCTATAGACTGATTCGTCAAGCTCCTCAAAATAACCATTTACAGCTTCGATTACTTCTTCATTGTCCGCAAATCTCTTACCGCCAAGCCATTTTTTGAGATTAGGGAACAGAAAATAGTCACTCGGGGCTAGGTCTGGAGAGTAAGGAGGGTGCGGCATCAATTCAAACTTTAGATCGTTGATTTTAGCCGTCGCAACGATTGACGTGTGCGCTGGTGCGTTATCGTGATGAAACAAGATTTTTTTCTTCGCCAGATGAGGTCGTTTAATTTTCACCTCGTGGCTCAAACGTTGCAATAAGTCTGCGTAGTATTGACCAGTGATAGTATTACCCTTTGCAAGGTAATCAATGTATATAATACCTCTTGCATCCCAAAAAACAGTAGCCATACCTTGTTCGCCGAAAAAATTGTTTTTGCCTTCTTTGGAGTTGGTTCCCCTGGTCCAATCCACTGTTTAGACTGTTCTTTGGTTTCAGGAGTGTAGTGGTGGACCCACGTTTCGTCAACGGTTACGAATCGACGCTAGAAATGTTTTTTCGAATCAATTTTTGGTCGACTGTTAGCAAACGCGGCACCCATCTTGCACAGAGCTTTTCCATATGCAAATGTTGGTGCAAAATATGTTGCACACGTTCATATGACATCTTACAGGTCTCAGCTATCTCACGCACTTTCAATCTGCGGTCTCCCAGCACTATTTGATGAATTTTTTCGATCATATCTGGAGTTGTGACCTCAACGGGGCGTCCTGAGCGAGGCCCATCAGAGGTGCTCACACGACCCTTTTTAAACTCGGAAACCCACTGCTTAACGGTTGAATATGACGGGGAGGATGTCCCCAGTGTTGAGTCCATCTCTTTTTTAATTTCCTTCGGCGTTAACCCCTTCAAATAAAAGTATTTGATGACAGCACGATTTTCCTGCTTTTCCATTTTTACGAAAACCACAGAGGCGTCTTGTTCAGCGTGCTGTCAAACCTACACTAGCAAGGAGATCGGGCTGAAACTATAGCTACAAGCTATCCAAGGATGGTACTATAGAATGTCACCTCAAGGTAGGCCTAGTGGCGTCATCTCTTGGTTAGGCCGGAAACTTATCAATCCACCCTCGTATAATTAAAAAAAGATTTTATATCTACGTTTATTCGTATTGTCAATAGTCGGCCATTTTTATTGTTCCACTATGACGTAGTGTCGGCCATCATTCTTTTCTAATTGTTGCTGTTGTCGGCCATCATTCTTTTTTAATTGTTGTCGCATTGTTACTAGTGTCGGCCATCATTCTTTTCTAATTGTTGCTGTTGTCGGCCATCATTCTTTTCTGATTGTTGCTGTTGTCGGCCATCATTCTTTTTCAATTGTTGTCGCATTGTTACTGATGTCGGCCATTATGGTTTTTTAATAGATGTATAGTAATCAATGGTTAAAATTTAAAGGAATTGTTTGTAAGTAGGTATGCAACACACCGTACACTTCAGAATAAATTGCTGATACTAACTTTCATTTACGTAATGCTACTTTGCCCTGTGCTGACAACACTCATAATTTATTTTATATATAATATTACAGGAAACACAACAGTCTCCAGTATTATATTCTGTACCTCGGGAGCTTTGGCTCCTTGTGGATCATTTATACAGGTATGGATTAAAAACAAAGGAGTTATTTGAACTCAATGCCTTAAATGAGGACATCGTACGTATAAGAGATTGGTTAGACTGGGGATCATTAGATCCAATTTGTATCCTTATTGTTAAAGATATAAAAATGGTTATCCTAGAGTGTAAGCAATTTTTCCTAAATTAAATTATTAGCTGTACCAATACATGCAGTTGCTGAGGCTTTGTTACTCTTTTTGTCATATACCAAAGACCCCATAATACCATATCATCTGCATGATGCCTGCATAGCAGCCTCTTCAAATTATCAGAGTTGTAAACAGGTCAGTATTATTTTTTATTTTATTTTAAAATCCTTAATTTGCCCACTTTATATCAAAGATAATAGTTCAAAAACTTCCGGATTTGGAGCGGAACGTCTTCCTCTACCTATGCATGTTTTTGCAAGAACTTTTGAAGCATTCAAATGAAAATGGATCAGATGTGAAAACATTGGCCACACTTTTTGGGGATATCTTACTCCGAGATCCTGTTCGTAATTCGAGACCTCAAGCTAACAGGGGAAAGGCAAGTTTCCTATACCATTTTCTTGTGAACGATCAGAGTTGTTTATTAATCGTACCAAATAATAAATAAGTCTTTCATGCCTAATATTCGTACGTAAAAAACAAACACAGACGAGAAGGCTAACGGGTTGTCTCTAATGAAGTGGTTTTCGTATATCAGTTGATAAGTTTCTTTAATGATAATTATCAGTGCCGTAAATNACGAAATACGAGCGTAACCTAACCTAACCTCGATTAAAATGATATACTTCTTGATGAGACATCTATTAATTTAAAAAAGTGACTTGTCATGATTGTCTCATATTAAAAATTGGGATATAAAAAAGCGCCTAATGGTTTTATTAATATTTTGTCCCTTTTCATGAACGTATCTTACATGTATTTACATAAGCTTAAAGTTATTGAAACTTTTTAATTGATGTCTGTAGGTACTTATACATATACAAAAATTCTCTTCACCTATTTAAAAAAATATGGAAATATTTCTAATAGCCCTTAAAATTGTTTAGATTTAAGTAGAAGTTTTATCAATTTAGAAACAATACTCAGATAAAAATGCAGCTACAAGTTCTTGTAAGGATTAAGTAATTAATTACAATTATACGCAAACATATGTAGCAGTGATTTAGATTTAAAAAATATGACCTGATTTTTTGTACTTCCTTGGTAATTGTTAATTGCAGAAAAATACAAAATAAACTTTACATAATTCTTGGTCCTATTTAATAATGTTAGTGCAGGTTTTAAAACGTGAAATATTTGTCAATATTTTTTTTTTTGAAATGATGCGTAAATAATGGATAAATTTAGCGTAATTAGTAACATAAATTAGAGGGAGTATACTGGCTCGGTTCAGGTGAAGTTAAATCCTTCGTTTGATTTCTAACAGTTCTACCCAGTAGCCTGGAAATCCAGAAAAGCAATAATTATTAGTTATGGTCGTTATAAATTTCCATAAATTGGCTTTTCTAAAGTACAGCGACAAGAGAAATCCATAAATTGCAGTGTTATAGTCCATATCAGAATGAAATAAGTTCCATTTTCAGAAATTCATTCAAATGTATCAAGAGAGACAGTTTCACCGTCTATTCTTACTATTCGTATCATTTAATAAGCTATTTCAATGTTTGTATAATTAAAATCAAAATCAAACAGTTGCTTTTCATTAACATTAGTTGTTATTTGCCAAATTTTTACTTATAACGAAAAATGCTACAAATAAAACAATAATTTTTGAAAGTATTGCTAGTATAGTGAGATTTCTTGTCATTGCGAACAAAATTAGTCACTGTAATTTTTGTCTTATTCCTGTGCCAAAACTAAAGTAGACGGGCTCTATTCCATTCAAGAGCATAGGTTTTTGTCCCATGTTTTGAGAAAACATACATTGAAAAACAATTTGGTGAGAACCAAAAGTTTATAAGATAATTTTGTTTGCAAGGGCAAGAAATCTTACAATATTTTTCAAGTTTATTAGTTTAGATCAAGCATTTTTAGGGGTAGGTGTCATAGTTGGATGCTTGATTGGTACTTATTTTTAGAAACAAATTCGTTTAGGTACTAAAAAATTTTGGTGTAAATGTGCTTACCTTTTCTTTCACTCAGAACCGTCATTAATTTTCGTATAAGAAATGGAGCACTTAAATTTAAATTAGAGTGCTAAATAATTATCAAAAAAGCACTAAATTCTCATGTAAGTTTTTATGCGGGTTCGCGTGTATATTTATTTCAATCCAGAGATCTAGTTTGCCGGTACCCGGTACCCTAGCATTAATCGTAAGATGTAAGTGAACCTTATCTACAGTATTTGCCAGAGAGCTGTTGTACTAATTTTTGTAAATAGTATTTAATGAGTGTAGTTATATATAACGTATATAACGTTTGTAATAAAAATTATTTTTGAAAGCCTTTATTTTCTTTAACGTTAAGCCCACATAAATAAATAATTAATGTACTTTCAGTTCTATAAAACAAAGTGAACTTCTGTATCTGACGTTTTTATAATAATATTGAAACTAAAGATCAAATAATTACCGTAAAAACAATAAATCACCGCTATAAACTAAAGAAGTGTAATAATTATTAATTCAATACCACAACAAAATATATTGATTATCATAAGTCAAAAATAAGCCTGGTTAATCGCTGTTTTTTTTTTTTCATTTACCTATTTTTTCTGATTTTTATGCTGTTTTTGCCATTAAAATATTCATATTTTTGTACAGATACATTGCTTTATTGTACTAAATTATTTAATATATGTAATGTAATTACGTAATTTTACGTATTTTTTTGGTCATATAAATATTTCTCCAAAGCTTTTTAAATAAAACCAAATAAATCGGTTCTAAATAAAAATGCAGATATATTTCTGAATAAACAGTTTTAATAGTGAAGTAAACAACTCAGTAAAGTCCTACAAACCAGTTTATAAAAAGCTTATTTCGTAAAACGATGCAAAAAACTATCTATCATATCTATCAGTCGTCGAGGAGGGGAGAAGGAATGAAGAGAAAGGACTTTATACAAGCATGATGGATAGTAGTTGGTTATTATAGTGCGGTGAATAAGTTTGTACGCGTTTGCGTGGAATAGTTAAATGAGTTAAATAACTTAGACTATCATTATTATCGATTTAATTTGTGATTATACATTTAATTCATCGATAGACAATAGTTGTGTTGACTTTGAACAGTTTTGGAATCTACAAAGTAGAAATATCAACAGCAAGTGACGCAAAAGTACCTACTGCAAAAAGGTAATTCGTTTGTTCTAATCTTGATGTTGAATATATGCTGTAACTTTGGTATTATTTTAAAAACAATCATAATAAGAAAACCTTTCGTTTATAACAATGGTCATAGTGGGTTTTTGTTAGTTTTTCCTTTTTATATATTTGAAAATAGTTTGCGTTCATCATNTGTAATATTGTATAGAAAACAATGTAAACCAACCAAAGTCAAGCAATTTCGACGTTTTAAGGAGTTTGTCGTTAAATCGAGTGACGTTATAAAGAGTTTACACTGTATTACATATTTTAGTTTGTTTTTCAAAAGGTATCTTGAGATTTACATGTTATTGGTTTATCAGTAAGAAGATCATTAAAAAATGCGTTTGTAGACCAAAAATTTAAATTGTGTACATGTTAAGATTACTTTAATCTTACTTTTTGTCGAAAAATGTTTGAGAGCGTATCTATTTGATAATGGTTCGTTCTAATGGTTTGGTAACGAAAACCAGAAAGTTTGATGTTCCAATTTTTCTTATTTTACTTTTAGAATTTTGCTGTCTTGTTACATTCTACACATCGGAATTTCAAATAGAAACACATCAATTTCGTCGTTTCCCAGATGTAGAATCACTCTTCCGACTTTTATTGCTCGCTTTTGCCCGATACACTGGTGCAGTCGCGGCTGCACAAATTTATGTATATTTGACACATGAGACAAACTTCATTTTCTTGTTTCATAAATTTTAAAATAATACACTCAAAGATAACAAAAATAACGAACGCAGTCGAAGAATTTTCAACTCAATTTTCTCGCCGCGACAAAATAAAATAGTTCTCCGATACGACTGCATATATAGAATTCGTATCATAAAAAGGAATTTTTGTTACAATTTTATACGTAACTATTGTTAGCATCAGTAATTCAATAATTATAAAAAAAATTGTATCCATTTTCGTGATACAATATCTGTAAATTACAAAAAAAAATGATTATTTTGTTAGGAACAGGTATACGTATATATATCGATTGAATGTAATTGTCCTCTTATTATACAAATATGTAATTATTTGTGTATTGACCTATCACAACATATTTTCAACTAAACCACAAATATTTAATACACCATTTTCAGTAAGTATGATTGATAAAGTGATAAATCAGTCAAGTATTCTTGACGCATTTTCTGAAATGTCAATCATATGGAAGCACATACAAATGTTCTACCTCAGGCTTATTTTAGATGTCCAAGGTGTTATTATTTAATCGGAATTTTTACAATTTAAAATCGCTAATTTTTTTGACATATTCGAGGTAGAAGTAAACAGTTGCAATGCTTGATGTTAAGAGTATTATTATGTATAACGCATTGTAATGATCCCAGTCATTCAAATAGAGTGTTAATACCGTCAGTTTCCCGACCTAACTTTTATTTCCATATGTTTGATTGTTTTAATGACTCTTTATTATAAATATTGTTTGGCATCAATTATTGATTCAACTGTTGAGATTTTTTGTTGAAAGCAAATTGATCTAATTCGCACCACACGCAATAAATATTAGGTGTTTATAATTTCACAAACTTTCAACAATTGTACTATGATTCAGTTTGACAATTTTAATTTAAAAAAATGGTAAGTACTGAATTGTGAATTTCATCGTGAACCATTGAATGTTTGAACACAGTTCCAGCAAAAATATGTTCCTATTGATTAGGATATGGTTAAGTAACTCTTTAAAGAAATTTTCGTAGTTCAATATAATAGTGGTTTCTTTTTGAGGAAAATTGATTTCCAGTTTCGTTGTATATACTGAAGTTCATTTTTCTCGAATATTGGACAGGTACAATTTTACGTTCACTGTCTGAATACAGACTGCGATTGGAGCCACGAAAAATAAAATTGAAATCCACCCTTTCGAAGATATTTATTAAACCGGTCGACTAAAATTCCCTTTACGATCATTTCGATTGGAAAATATTCTAGTATGCAATCAGCGTAGATTTGGTCCGGATAACACGCCAAGCAATTCATTTCAAAAATTAAGACCGGGAGTATGAAGCTGAAAATAATTTTCTGAAAATTGATTACGCACATTAGCATACATAGATCTGCGTGCATACGAGAAATGAATTGAAGGGGTTAATGACATACCATTACAATATAAATTGGGAAAATGCTGTATCAATTGTAACGCTTTTAAAGTAAACCTTAAAAACAAAGTAAACACAAATTGTTGATTGATTTCTGATTTAAACGGTACGCAATGATTTATACATTAGAATCATTGGGTTAGATTTATTTAAATATGTATAATAAGAAAAATAATAATTTCACCTTGACGGAAAGAAAATGTGAAAATTTATGACAAATAATATGAAATATGTACCATGAAGATTAATGAAAAATACATGTAAAGTTTGACGTTTTCCATAAATTTTCATGGTCTTTCTTCACTGTTTTTTT